TTACATTTGATATAGCTCCTTATCATGTCTTCAAGACGTCTCAAATCCCTTCACGGAATAATAATAATAATAATAATCCTTGCATTTGATATAGCGCTTTTCACGTCAGGAGGACGTCCCAAAGCGCTTCACAGAACACACTGTAAAGAGAATTGACTGTATATTTGTGGGCGAACGCGGCAGCCAATTGCGCACAGCAATGTCCCACAAACAGTTGTAGATTGAAAATGACCAATTTTTTTTTTTGGTTTTTGGAGGGATTATTATTAGGCTCTGTGTGGAGTAAGGAAACTTGCCCAAGGTTTCACCCTGTCTGGAATTGAACTCAGGTCTCCCACTTGCAAAGCAAGTGCTCCAACCACTGAGCTACAGGACTCCATGAGAGTATACTGTATACGACTCCACGGAATATACTGTAAAATGAATTGACTGTATTCAATTGACGGAATTAAAGGTATTGACTGTGTCTTTTGTAGACGAACGAGGCAGCCCATGTGCCCCACAAATAGTCCAGGCTTGGCTGTGCCCTGGGATATGTAGATACAGGATTAAATTATCTGCATATACGAAACCCACTGTCTTAATTCAAATTTTTGCCTGAAACAAAACAAAATATCACGTCCCGGGAGGGAATGAAATGCTTAGATTCGATGTGATTATCTTCCGGCTTATCTTCCACTCATTAATTGAACAAGGATCAGCAAAGTTACAATTGAAAAAGGGACACAATTATTGCATGCATTTGGAATATGTCTGTTATCACACTGACAAAATTATGTGAGATTCAAATGTATGGCTTGATATCTCTCATTTTAATACGATAGCTGGTCGTCTCGTTAGTTTACCCAGCGACCCTGGGAACTGAACCCACACCCTCACTTAAATAACCCTTTTTGAAATGATGCACTGACAAGCACAGCAAACTTATGGGAACATAAGCAGACAAACTTGCTCTATTTTGTGTCATATTACAATCCATTTCCAGGTGGCTTTGTTGTTGTCGTTGTTGTTGTTGTCGTTGTCGCTGTTGTATAGATCAGTTGCGGTTCCACGGTACCTGAAACAAACAAATCACAAACTCAAGAGGCAGTTGCTAACAGAAGAATGAAAATTCAGAAGATTTAAAGGCTCCTTTGCTGAGTTCGAACCACTGAGACACTACTCCGTGTGAGGGGCACTATATAAATGCAAGTTGTTGTTGTTGCTGTAGTTTCCGTGTCCATTTCGCAACCTACTCACGACTCTCAGTATCTGTGCTGCGTTCCTCTCGCTCCTCCCAGCTGAGACTAAAGTAAAAAGACTGGAAATAACATGTCAGGGGGGAAAGAGAGCTTACTTTCCTTCGCTGGGAATCAGACAGTGTCTTTCAGTTACAGGTCTGCCCAGTGAACACTGCCCCATTGTGTGACCTCCTCCCCCCTCACACTCTCCTTCAATAAAGCCTTTTTGTCCACTTGAACACAGTGCTGCCCCCACTCTCCCCCCATCATCTCTCCCCTCCCCCCTCATCCTCTCACCCACCACACCACCCCCAAAGCAAAACGGAACGCCACATTCTGGGCAAAATTTCTAGCTTTAGACAAATGGAATAGAATGAAACAATTTTGGTTTCACACCACAGAAAATACTTTTTTAAAAAAAAACATGTTTGACCTAACTGATTCCGAAATCCTATTTTTCCTTAAAGCTGCCCCTAAGACCTCAGCTGAGACTGCAGCACAAACTCTGTAGAGCGGCAAACTGAGAAATCCAAAATTGTTTGGATGAACACACTCTCAGAGGGCTGGAGCAATGGCTTAGAGGCAGGACCTTTTTGGGAAGTAACTGGAATCTTTGGAAATGCGATGCTCTCAAGTCCTGGGCAGTCCCTAAGTCACACTTGAGACGTGCAGAGAATTGTCACATTTATAAATGAACCATTGCTAAAAGTAGCACGTGAAGCGCTTTGACACTACCTCCCAACGTGAGAAGCGCTATACCGTATAAATGTAAATCACATTGTGTTAATCCCTCTCCTGTTATAAAAATAATAGTCCTTGCGTTTAATATAGCACTTTATCACATCATTGAAATGTCTCAAAGTGCTTTGCAGAATATACTGTAAAGTAAATTGACTGTGTGTATGTAGGCGAAATGCGGCAGCCAATTGCACACAGCAATGTCCCACAAACAGTCGTGGATTGAGTGACCATTTTTGAAGGGATTATTACCCCTGGAAAAGCGATCTGCCAATTGACTAACAACTGGGTTCCTATTTACTGCTAGGTAAATAGAGGCGTGTGGAGTAAGGAAACTTGCCTATGGTTTTGCCTCACTAAATAGTTTGTACTATTTAAGGGAAAATAATCCTTTGAGTATTCAAAACTTAAAACTGTTTTGATACCCTACAGTTTCACCTACACAAACACACAGGTACTATATTTTACAGTAAGTCCTGTAAAGCGCTTTGATACATCCTCCCGATATAAAAGTTGCTGTATCAAATCTAAGGATCATTATTGTATTATTACTATGGTCATTGACTTCACGGGCTGTTTGTGCAGTGTAGCTGTGTGCAAACTGGCCGAAATCTGGATGCCAATTTGTTAAATGCAAGGATTATTATTATTATTTTATTCTGTGTTGAGCAGTGGCACAGCTAGGAATGGAAATTTGGGTGGGCACCAACTTATGGTGGATGATGGGCAATTACACACATGCACCCACGGAATGTTACAGACACATACTCGCACAGAGTTACACATATACAGACACGCAGTGTTACACACACAGTATTACACACACACAGTGCCACACACACACGCAGTTTTACACACACATACATAATGTTACACGCACAAGCACAGTGTTACACATATACATGAACAGTATTACACACACATTTGCGCAGTGTTACACATATACACACACACAGTGTCACACACACACAGTGTCACACATACACACATAGAGAGTATTACACACACATACATGAACAGTGTTATACACACACACAATGTTACATATTTACACGTACAGAGTGTTACACAGTATTACACACACACATGCGCAATGTTACACACATACCTCCCTCTCCAGCTCTCTTCCCGCTGCTCTCCACAATGCTCCGTTGCCCACCCAGGCCCACTTGTAGCTATGCCTCTGGTGTTGAGCGCAAAGCCCTGTTTGCCAGTGTGACACATAGTCAAGCCTACATCACATTCCAAAAATGTGCTCCCTCAGCACCGTCCCCTCTGAAGGTATTTGTTTTTATACATCAGGAGCCAACATGGGTTGCACTGTGGCTTTGCGCTTCCACACTGAGCCCTGGCCTTAGCCCTGTGTGCGTCTGGTGCTGTGAATGATATGCCACTAAAAAAGGCCAAAGAGTAAAGGTCGGAACAAGTCAGTGTAGGGCACAATATACCAGAATGCACATTGCGCCTTATCATGTCTTTGAGATGTTTCAAAGCGCTTCACAGGATATACTGTAAAGTGTAGAGGCTGTGTATTTTGTAGGTGAAACGCAGCAGATAATTGTGCTGATACAGTACTTGCTTTAGTTTTAAATGGTGACCACCAGTGTGATATCAATAGATCATCTTCCACCATTCTCATCTGGTACCCAAGACAACTATTAATTTCTTACTGTGCACATTCCTCTCCCCTTTACCTATCTTCCCTCGTTGCTGCCACACATCCAGCCGCAGGTTCCACCTGAGCGAATAAAGCCTTTTAGTTACTTTTCTTACTCTTATCATTCCTGACATTTGGTCTCAGCTCCTTCTCATTATACAGCTTTTGTCTCCTTATCCATTGTGCTTTGTCAATGTCAGATCTTGGCTTTCTATGTTGCTTTCATAAGCTGTTTGGTTGTGTTATTGATTTATTTTACAAAAAAAACCTTTTGAGTCAATCGGCTAGCAGCTAGGAGTAAACACTAAAGGATTTTTTTGTGGGGGAATCAAACAAGGGTTTCACACACACTCACGGAAACCCCATCGCCGTGCTTAAGAGTATTCAAACCAAACTGAGAATTCCATGCAGGCCACCTATACGTGGAAATAGCGCTTGGGTGTGGAATGCAATGCACTCTCGTTCAAACCTCCCCTGTCTGGGAACGCACCCCGGTCACCTAACTGCAGAGAGCATTAGGCAGATTGGTGAGAGCCAAGGCTTGGGAAAAGGGGGTCAGGTAATTGCTGTAGAGTTTAATCTGCTATAAAGAGTGAAAACCGTGAGTGAAGAATACATAAATCGAACAGGGTTTATTGGATCATTTAAACATGCTTTATTTCAGCATTCAAAATAATTAAAAACATCTCAAATTATTATACATATACAAAATAGGTACATTATCCATGTACTTGCCCCGGAAATGTCTGCCTCTTTTTTTTCTCCTCTAAAAGTAGAAAAAAAAGCTGTTACTAAAAAAAAAGCACAAAAAAGGCACTGAGATGACGAGAAAAATGGCAAAGTTGGGGTGGGTGGGTGGTTGGGTGGGGCAGGGGTTGGGGGGGAGGAGAGATCCACATGCATAAATTGTGAGTAAGACAGGCAAGTTTGTGGTGGTTTTTTTNGGTCTCTTGTACATAAAATGTTTTCTCCTACAGTATAAACAGATACTTTTACATAGCACCTCATTTTGACTATCTGCATATTCACTGTTTCTTAGACATCGAGGAATGTTTCTTAGCACCGATCAAAAAAGCTGCCTGTGGTAAGGACATAAACACAAATAGCACCTTCTCTATTGTGATAGCTGTGAAGTGTGTAATGTTTCCCGGTACACTGATGCACTGGGTAGCACCTTAAAATCTTTGTGAGGTAGCACTTTACAAAGTTCAATCTTCGTGAAGAGTTTTAAAAGGTCTGCGTGTGCCAGAAGGTAGGAAAGAAAAGATTTGCGTTTGTTTTTTGATGGTTTCGTTTCTGTTGCTTTTTTTTTTCTTTGCTTTTTTTCCCGCCCTCGCTCTCTCTCGCTCTTTCATCATGTGTTAGAATGACAATAACAAACTTTCAACATTTTTTAAAATTTATTTTTTTGCCACCTGAAAAACGGTACAATACAATCTTTTTTTCCTCTGCAGTGGTATATGGCAAATGTAACCTGCAGTGATCTCTTAACTCTGGGAGGGTGGGTGGGGTGAAGGGGGGGAAGGGAATGTGGGTGGGTGGGATAGAGGGATGGAGGGTAGAGTGGGGGGAATGTGTGGAGGGACAGGTGGGGGTAAAGAGTTTTAACACCGACAAGTACTATTTTTTCGTGTTGCCATAGAAACAGAGAACATTAAAAAAGTGTCCTTGTTGTTCTCCTGCCCGTCTTGAGGCCCGAAGTTTAAGCAAGTGGACCATTGCTGTTGAATGAATTAGAACTCAATGCATTAAAAAGTTTAGAGATGACTGCAAGTAAATTTCAAGTCCATTTTACAAGAAGCAGACTGGGCCGATTTCAACGCCAAATTCCTGATCCGCGCCACCAACATCCATAGGTGCAATGTCAATAATTGGCAGTCGTGATGTTTTCATTGTTTTGTATTCAATGACTGTCCTGCCCCATTCACCAGTGTGTCGCTGTGGGTCAAAGGAAAAACACAAAGGATCAGTATAAGAATGAAACTCATGGAGCCCGTTCCACCAGCTTACAAGATCACGGCAGATCTTTGGTAGAACTGCAGACATCTACAGCTCAGAAAACAGCCGCTTGGCCCATCATCACTGGGCCGGTTCTTAAAGAGCATTTTTTCAGTCCCATTTACCCGTCATTTCCTCCATATCTTTGTAGTTGACTCCTTTTTAGTTATCTATCTGGATCCTCTATGAAAGCTAAGATGGATTCTGCAGCTACCTCTCCCCTCAGGGCATTCTATATCCTAACTACTCTATGCACAAAAAANCAGATTTTTCTCGTCACCCTGGTTTGCTGCTATCTTACTTTGATGCCCTCCAGTCACTGACTCACTGAGCAGCTTGCTTCTCTGCTTTTCCCCCACTCATATCTAGTACAACCCGCTCAACTTAACAGTTTTACCCATCGCTCTTGTTTTACCTGAGGTATAAACCACTTTTGACATCCGGGCCTTTAAAAAGCAACTTAAAGTTATAATAAGTTAAATAAGTTAAAGATCGAGACTAGCTCTGGCCAGAGTCTTAAAAACCCAACTCGCTCACGCTAAGAGTTAGAACCATAAAATCATACAGTATAGAAGGAGGCCATTTGACCCATGCCAACTCTTAAAAAGAACTATCCAAATGAATCCCACTCCCCGGCTCGCTCTCTCCCTATAGCCTTGAGAATTTGAACTCCCCAAATATCTACCCACTTCTCTCTTGAAATTCGCTATTGAATCTGCTTCCCATCCCTTGTCCGTTGAGCGTCCTGACTTTATGGAAGGGTGATAAGCATGGAGCGCCAATGCCAATATTGAGCGACTCACCGTGCAACCATCCTCGCTGACGCTGTATGTAAATCGACTGTTGCCTTCTGCTCTGATTTCAATTTCGTTGGAGCCCTGGAGAAGCACAGCCTTCTTCAGGTTGCCTGCTTCCTCATCCATGTAGGCGATGCTGTTCTTGCAGTGGTATGTGACATTTTGGGTTGCCTCGGAGGACATCAAGCGCAGGAAGGTCATTTGGATGGCAACGTCGCTAGCAAGTACACCATCATCAGCACCATAGCCAAACTGCAAAGAGAGGAGCGGGAAACAAAAAACATTGGTGGCTTGTTCCTTTAGTCAGGGACTGTCACTTTGGGATGAGATGTTGCACTTTTTTTGTGGGGGGATACAAAATAATAACAAATCATTCTTGCATTTGATATAGCGCCTTATCATGTCTTCGAGACATCTCAAAGTGCTTCACAAAATATGCTGTGAAGTGAATTGACTATATTTTGTGGGCGATATTGTCAAACTCTAAGAATCACTGTGGTCAAGAATTCCGCTTGGTGCAAATGCTTCTGACAATAATAATAATAATCCTTGCATTTGATATAACGCTTTTCATGTCGGGAGGACGTCCCAAAGCGCTTCACAGAACACACTGTAAAGTGAATTGACTGTATATTTGTGGGTGAACGCGGCAGCCAATTGCGCACAGCAATGTCCCACAAACAGTCATAAATTGAAAATGACCAATTTATTATTGGTTTTGGAGGGATTATTATTAGGCTCTGTGTGGAGTATGGAAACTTGCCCAAGGTTTCGCCCTCTGCCTGGAATTGAACTCATGTCTCTCGCTTGGAAAGCGAGTGCTCTAACCACTGAGCTACAGGACTCCACAAATGCCAACAACAACTAGATTTCATTTATAGAGTGCCTTTCACGTAGGGAGGACGTCCCAAGGCGCTGGACAGTTGGGTCGGGACCCGAGCAGGGGGGAAATGGTCAGGGTGAGGGGAGGGAAGGAAGGGAGCGAGGAGGGGGTAGAGAGTCGAGAGGGGAGCTGAAGGCATGGTCGAAGAGAAAGGTCTTGAGACCGGCCTTGAAGGAGGAAAGGGAGGAAGCGGCGAAGGCACTGGGGGATGGCATTCCAGACCCTAGGGGCTGAAGATCCGGCCACGGATGGTAGGGCGGTTAGGGCAGGGGATGTGGAGCAGACTGGAGCCAGAGGAACAGAGGGTGTGGGCAGGTAAGTAGGGGGATAGTAGGTCAGAGAGGTAGGAATAGCCTTGTAGGTGAGGATAAGGATCTTGAATTTGATCCTCTGGGGGATGGGGAGCCAGTGGAGGCGAGCGAGGGTGGGAGTCATGTGGTCGCGAAGCCTGGTGTGGGACAATACATGAGCTGCAGAGTTCTGAATGACCACAATGGAGACATCCTATCAGTGGCCACGATTGCCAAAGGCGAGTGCACTTTGTAGCCCCGTTATCTGGTCTTGCAAGAGATAAAATGACCCTTGCCTCAAACAGATTCACTTCTCGATTCGTTTTCAACCTAATAATCTGTTAGAAGGAGACAGCATCAGAAGCCTCAATGCTCCGGTTTAGGGTTTGACATTAGGAATAACATACCTGGAAGCCACCGTTCATGCTCTCGCCGAACCAGATGTGCTTCTTTTCCTTGGGATTCTTGCTTGTGTACCAGTTCTTTTGTGGGATGGACTGTGGGCTTGAGTAGACACAGGTCTCACCAGTTTCCAAGTTACAGTACACGCGGATAGCATCCAGAGAACAGCCTTGGTTAGGATCGATCCAGTAGTCTCCTGTGGGTCAAAATGAGGCACATCTTAATAAGGCTTCACGCTTGATTCATCCAGGCTACTCTCAGCTGAGTTTGAAACCGATCCAATAAATTAAGCTTCGTCCAACTAAAATATAAGTTTACGCAGATCTATTTTATTTATAACCCATTGTAAAGTTTATTTGAGTGTAGACGCCGAGCTAACAAAGTCCTGTTTGGGTAATCTTAAGCGCAGTGGTGCGTTTGCGTGTGTTTCAGACACCCGGGTAACTAAGTAAAAAAAAAAATCGAAAGCGATGACATAAAATCACCAATGAAATAAATGTTGAAATGTACAGCATTGATTGAAATGCAATATGTCCCTTGAGTAAACTGACTCCAAAGGCGATTCGCTCACCTGCCCTTGATACAGGCAGGTCACAGTAATCCAAGGCAAACCTGGGTAGGTGGGCACAGCCTGGACCCCCTTCAAACCACCCGCAAAGGCGCCGATGGTTAGGGAGTGCGAGCTGGATAATGGATACTCACCGCTCTTCCATTCTGGGTGGCACATCTTCAAGTCGCGGCAGGTACGGGCTGGGTTCTTCCTGGTTCCCTCAGGGCTACGGATGTTGTCGATCTGCTTGGTCAGGGATTTCAGCGTGGTCTCGACCTCGGCGTGGCGATCTCTGACAACACCGGCGTCGTCTGCTCTGAAGTAGCGCAGGGGATCTTGGGCCTTCTCTTGCTGGGATGAGCTTCCAAAACCAAATTCATAGCCTCCGCCCGGAGCGCCGGGGGCACCAGCGGGACCTGGGGGTCCAGGTGGACCCTGTACAGTGGATGAGACAAGATGGGTCGGTCAAGACATGAGTTTTAGGGGTTTACGGTCAAAATACACGTCGATTTCAAAGCAGTCCTGTACAATGAATGACGGGGATCAAGAAAGACTACTCACAGCTGGGCCAACTTCACCAGTGCGACCACGAGGACCTGGAGGTCCAATGGGACCGGGCAAACCACTAGGACCATCTTTACCAGAAGTACCAGCTGGACCAGAGGGACCCTGAAAGGGAAACAAAGCATTTGATGATGGTTCAGCCTTCTGATATTCACATCAGCCTCCGCCAGAAATCACACCACACTCGACACACTCGACACACTTATCCACGATGTTCGACACACACGACATAAGAACGTAAGAATTTGCTCAAGCGAAAGAAGACCGAGGTCCATCTACTTTGCCTGGCAGTCGCTTGACATGTCATGTCCCAAACTATATCCCGAGATATTATTTTCTATCTAATTTACCAGATAGAATTTACTAACTAGCCAAAAAAAAGCTACGCAGTTTTCTTGTTTTTTTTGTGGCTGCCCCTAATATTTGAGGCCCGCCATCTCCCGAATCGTTTGGTTCGTGAATTGCTAATACATTTTGAGTGGCTCTGTAGGATCTTTAACATACTCCCAAACAGACGGGGCGCAGACGGGACCAGAGTTTAACGTATCACCTGAAGGATGGAGCTTCGCACTGTCCTGAAGTGGGGGAGGGTTTGAACCCAGAGCCTTCCGTTCTGACTCAGAAGGTGAGAGCGCTACCAACTGAGCCAGGCTGACACACAAATTGGACTGAGAGACACAGTGACCAGTTTTGAAGTGGGTGGGGGGGTGGTGGTGATCGCACAGCGGAATCGTCGCTGGATTTTTAACAATACTCACTCTTGCTCCAGCAGCACCTGAAGATCCAGCGGGACCTTGTTCACCATGAGGACCCTTTGGAACAAGAAGAAAAAATGTTTTGAGACACAAAAACGACTGGCAAATAGGCGGCAGAATGATTTAGAAAGGAAAGCTCAAGACAGAATGAGTGAAGTGCACTTACGGGTGGCCCACGGCTACCCTGCAAACCAGGGAATCCTCGGTGACCCTTTATTCCTCTCTCGCCAGACTCACCAGTTTCACCCTTGTCACCACGAGGACCTGCGACACCCTAGGTCACAAGAGAAGACAAGATGCTATTTTAGTGGCTAACATTTGCATCATTTCCCTTCAGTGCTTTGGACAAGCTCTGCTAATTCCCCCCACCCCCTCCCCCACTGAGTTCAATCACAATACCTGCATTTGCAAAGTTTGAGAGGCCCTTTTTAATCTGCATTTCCTCAAAACTAATGATTTATTTCTCCATAGAATAAAGGGAATGCACTTTGCTGCATTTGCAATCCAATTTGATCGAATTTGTTTACTCAGAGTTTAGGCGTCCATAATTCAGTCCTTTTTTTTAAAATCCTCGCATTTACAATAACAATAATATCTTGGATTTATATAATGCCCTCCACACTGGACGGTGTCTCAGAGCGCTTTACAGTAATGGATCCCGGGACCAAGCCAGGGGGAGAGGGGGGAAGGTGAAAAAAGGCGCGATCAAAAAGAAAGGTCTTCAGCAGATACTTGAAAATGGGAAGGGAGGGAGCGAGATGAAGGGAGTGAGGAAGGCCATTCCAGAGCCTAAGGGCATAGTGGCTGAAGGCACGGCCGCCGAGGGTGGAGCGGAGGACTCGGGAGACGAGGAGGAGGCCAGACCCAGAGGAACGAAGGCAATGGGTACTGTTTTGGTGCAATGCCTTAGATTTCAAACCAACAGGTAAAGTGTAGTGACTGGATATTTGTAGGCCAATTTAAAAGGGAAGATGTTGAGAATGGAGCCATTGCAGCAATTGAACTCTTCCAATGAGCGGTGAGTAACCATATCCAACTAAATTATAGTAAACCTTGCGTTGGATACAGCGCCTTATCACACCATCAAAATATCTTGGAGTATTTCACAGAATTTTCCTGTCAAGTGCGGTGACTTCGTATTTTGTAGGCGAAAGCGGCAGACAGTTTGCACGTGGCAATGTCCTACACAAACAGCTGCGTGGTAAATTTTAAGTGATATTAACATCACGAAAGAGACAAGGTAGATACTTACTGTGCTTCCACGGGCTCCCATTGGACCAGCGGGGCCCTGAGGGCCTGCGGGACCCTGCAAAAGAGAGAAATAAAGTCAAATCACACTTTAAAAAACAGAAATTTTTCCTAGGTTTATATAAGACAGGGTAGCCAGAGGGTAGCCAGAGGGTAGCCAGAGGGTAGCCAGAGGGTAGCCAGAGGGTAGCCAGAGGGTAGCTACCATGTATCACGTTTTAAAGTGAAATGGAAAGGTGGTGCAAAAAAACAACCCAATATGAATACTTACGGTCTCACCACGTTCACCATTCTTGCCAGCAGGGCCTACTGGGCCAGGAGCACCAGGAGCGCCAGGGGCACCGGGAAGGCCAGACATGCCGGTTTCACCGCGGTCACCCTAGATACCAGACAATAAGCATCAGTCAGTTATCAGGAGGGAAGAGCGTTGAAAATAAATTGATCGGTAATTGCAAGTATACAAGCTAACGATGGAGAAAGGACAACTGACCTTAGAACCTGCAGCACCATCCCGACCCGGAGCACCTTCAGCTCCAGGAGAGCCCTACAGGATAAAGATCTGTGTTACACTTTCATTTAATGTTCACACCCAACTCCCTTTTTTTAAAAGCTGATTTTTCACATGGTTCTTGTGAATGATACATCAACTAGACCTTCGTTCCTCAGCGCTACCTCCGTGCGCTGGTTTAGAGAATTTATTTTGATATTGTTGTAGGTAAAATAAAAATAATCTTTACATTAATAATCCTTATATCTGATACAGTGTCTTTCATGTCCATCGGGAGGACGTTTCAAAGCACAATGTCTGTGTATTTTGTGGGTGATCGTGAGAGCCTATTTGTCCACAGCAATACCCCACAAACAGCCATGAAATGAATCACTAACTCAGGGGGAATCGTCGGCCAGTATACCAGGAGAAACCCCTTTCTCTTTTTGAATAGCGCCACGGGATCTTTAACATCCACCTGAACAGGCGCCGATGGGACCACATTTTGAGGCCTCATCCAAAAGGAATGGCACATTTAACAATGCAGCGCTCCCCCCAGTAATACACTGGGGTGTCTGCCTAGACCTGTGAGCTCAAAATCTCAATGGGGGCTTCCACCTACAAATTTCTGGCTCAGAGGAAAGAGTCCTACCACTGACAGCTTTGGTTGGCGGTTAGAGAATAGGTCCTCATTGTGCAGAGATGATCACAGGTGATCAATTACAATGCTAAAAGATTGCTATTCCTAACAAATACAATAACAACAACAACTTGCATTATATAACGCCCTTCACACAGAGTAGGGTCTGACAACGAGCCAGGGGGAGAGGGAGAGGGAAGGTGACTGTAAGCACGATCAAAAAAGGAAGGTCTTCAGACAAGAAGGGAGGGGGTAAGACAGAAGGGATTGAGGGAAGAGAGCTCCAGTGTTCAATAAAGATATTCATACTTCACGACCAGCTTCGCCAGGTGGGCCAGACAAACCAGGGGGACCCATTGGCCCGGGAGGACCACGATCTCCAGGTCCACCAACTGGACCTTGCTTTCCAGGTTCACCCTAGTAGCAAAGACAATCGTTTTAGCTTGAATCCCAACAGAGGTTGCCAACAAGAGAATTAGGACAAACAGCGCAACTATCAACAAACACAGAACACAGTATACAACAAATATAAGATTCACTGCTTATCAAAAGAAGAGTTAAGAATCGGGTAACAGTAATCTATGGAACTTGATTCCTTCAAGGATCCATCTCCAAATCTACTAACTTTCACCCTTTTTAGCCAACAAGCACAAGCTTAGTTCCTCTTTGAAACCCTTTGCAGTGTGTCAGGGAGAAGAGATTAGCCACGTGCACAGTCTAGATTGAATCTAAATATTCCCATCACTCTTTTACTGGAAAAAAAACAATTCCCTTGTGTTTTCTATTCTGGTTTTTTTTGCCCTCATTTTGAAGATATGAACTGTGGATTTTGGAATGTCTGGGCAAACTTATCAGAATCCAAACATCTCTAAACCTTTTGCGATCTTAGAAACACTTCAACCAAGGTTCCTTTCAGGCCTCTCCGTCCAAGAGAGGAGTGTTGGCAAAGTCAGATGTAAACAAGAGCACTTCGCAAGTTGCTGGATATCTCTCCTCAGTATTTACATCAACAGTTCTGAGAACATTTATCTTTAATGTGTTGCAACCAACTAATTAGCTAATAATAATAATCCTTGCATTTGATATAGGGCCTTATCATGTCATTGAGACACCTCTAGGTGCTTCACAGAATACACTGTAAAGTGAATTAACTGTGTATTCTGTGAAGAGGTGAAGCGTATAGTATTGGTAAAATTGGGAGGACAAAGTGATTGATCGGTTACTTACTGATGGGCCAGGCAGACCACTGAAACCACGTTCACCTTTGATTCCTGGGATACCAACAATACCACGTTGTCCAGCAAGACCCTGAGCTCCAGAGAGACCAGCGGGGCCCTAAAGAAGAGAACACGAAATGGCACCATTTAGCATCCGATCTCCAGACACATATCTAAGAAAGAATGTACTCGCCTTGGAGGGGAGTACAACGTAGGTTCACTAGGTTGGTACCAGGGATGAGGGGGATGAGTTATGAGGATAGGTTGAGCAATTTAAGCCTATATTCTCTAGAATATAGAAGAATAAGAGGTGATTTTATAGAAACCTATAAGATTATTAAGGGGCACAACAGAATAGAAAGTGGGAGACTTTTTCCCCTGTTTGGAGAAGCTATAATGAGGGGTCACAGTCTTAAAATTCGGGGTAAGCTCTTTCGTACTGACTTGAAGAAAAACTTCTTCACTCAGATGGTAGTGAATTTATGGAATTTTCTACCCCAAAGGGCTGGAGATGCTCAGTCCTTGAACATATTCAAGACTGAGATTGATAGATTTCTTGTGGATAAAGGGATTAAGGGATATGGGGATAATGCGGGTAGGTGGAGTTAGAATAGATCAGCCGTGATCTTATTGAATGGCGGGGCAGGCTAGAGGGGCCAAATGGCTTACTCCTGCTCCTAATTCTTAGGTTCTATATCAGGGTTTGGGTTTTCAAGGTTGGGGACAAAGAGGGGTTTCTTTTGCACTCGCACGGTCTAAATTTTTGGTCGGAACAAAGCTGTACTGACCCGAGTTGAAATGAGAAGCGAGGTGTGCATTTGGTGTGCATGTTGGGGTCAGGGTGGGGGGGTGGAGGTGGAACCTGTACTGAGTTACTTACAGGAGGACCATCAGCACCAGTGGATCCTTTCTCGCCAGATGGTCCTGGGGGGCCAGCAGGTCCGGGTTCTCCTGAACGACCAACAGCACCAGACTCTCCGCGAACTCCTTTAGGACCATCTTTTCCGGGAGCACCAACTGGGCCGGCAGGGCCAGTGTTTCCCTAGAAGCCAATGGCAGAGACGTTCAAGCTTAAAGCGCAATCGTTTCCAGCTCATAACCTCACTGACCACTCCTCGAATACCCCGTTTCCTGGCGGTGTGAGTGCCTACGCCAACGGAAACATCTCGAAGAGCTTCAATTGCAACAAGAGCTTGCAATTATCCACGCCATTTCACGCAGGGGTAGCATCTCTAACAGAGGCAGAAGCTGACCCTGAGCTGGGGAGAGAAGGGAAGTGACCCTAGGAACAGTCAAAGAGGAAGATCCTCAGATAGAATCTGAAGATGGGCAAACTAGGGGGATAAATGAAGAGAATGAAGTTTTGGGGAGGGGGTGCAGTGGCTGAAAGCACGACCACCGATGGTGGCACAAACAGAACGAGGAAAGTGCCTTTCGCTCCACTGGCAATTGTTGTTAAGTGTAGTTACTGTGCATCTTGCAGACAATGCAGCAGCCATTTTGTGCCGAGCAATGTCCCACCAACAGCTACAAGGTGAACGTTAAACTTATCTGGAGGATTGCTGGGCAGGGAGAAGCTACCTTCTCTCTTCCAATAGTGCCGCTGGATCTCTAACGTCCACCTGAATAGGTAGACGGGAGCTTGGTTTAACGTCTCATCCAAAGGACAGCACCTCTGTTGCTCTCATGGTTATTCACCGGGGCGTCAGCCTGGCCTGTGACCTCATATCCGGCCTGTGGGGACCTGAACCCACAGCCGAGATCAGGACCAATAAGCTAAGCAGACACTAATGGTTCCTGTTACAAAACTCCCCGATTCAACATTGCTTTTCTCTGAGGATAAGAGTTCGAGGCACTTACAGAGGGGCCAGCAGGACCGACTCGTCCAGTAGCACCAGGGAAGCCAGTTGCACCCTAGAGGAGAGCAGAAAGCTGTTAATGCTAATAACAATAATTCTTACATTTGATACAATGTTGGTGAGACGTCTCAAACCACTTCACAGAATATACTGTAAAGTGAATTGATTGTGGGTGAAACCCTACAGCCAATTGCGCACAGCACAAACACTTGTGGATTGCGTTCAGGGGTTACACCCCCGGAAAGCGATCTGCTAATCAACTAACAACCGGGTCCCTACTTACTGCCAGGTAAACAGAGGCGTGTGGAGTAAGAAAACTTGCCTAAGGTTTCACCCCGCCCAGGAATTGAACCCGGGTCTTCTCGCTTACGGGACGAGCATGCCAACCATCACGCTACAGAACTCCACGAGTCCTACATGTTAATCTTTTTTTGTCTGCATCTGGCAGATATGATTAGGGCCAAAATTCTACCCAGGTGTGGATTCACTCGATTTAAATGTCAGAATTTTTTGGCAAGTTCTGTTGCTGAATTCTCTTTGAAGCCGTAAAATTGCATAATTAAAAAAATATATATGTCTAGGACATATTCTAAGCAAAGGTGTGCACTTCCTGAAAACTATTTGTGCGCTAAGCTATGTCCTATTGTGTGTGAGCAGCAACAGTTCAATTTAGACTCAAGTGCACATCACATTTGCGTGCTTTGCCGATGCTGAAACTCTCGCTTTGCTCAAACGGGAAGTATGAGTGACAAGAGAGAGACAAGAGAGAGAGATAGGAGAGAGAGAGAGGAGACAGAGAGAGAGAGAGAGAGAGAGAGAAAGAGAGAGAGAGAAAAGGGGGAGAGTTGAAGCCGTGAACTCACAGGTGGGCCTGGGGCACCGCGACTGCCTTTAGATCCGGGGGCACCGACCGGGCCCTGTGTGTGGAGGAGAGAGAAGAGACTTGAGATTAGCCAGTTACCTAAGTCAGCTCCGCTGGAGGGGAATAGGAGCATACCAATCAGAGAAGGTTATTACAGAAGAAGTGTTTTACTTACAGAAGGACCAGGGCTTCCAGTTGGACCAGATGGCCCGGAGGGACCAGGATCACCCTTTGCACCTGGATCACCAGCCTCTCCCTTAGCACCAGGCTGACCATCAATACCCTGTGATTGACAGGAGCAGAAAAAAGATCAATGAGCCCTTTGGTATTTGAGAGCCAACTCCGCACACCACATTAAAAGCCAGTGCAAATGTTAAATAGAGTTAACATTGAGTGTCCCCCCCAAACACCCACCCACCCGCCAACCCACCCTTGTGCTCATAGTGCACAAATGCAACAGTTAAACAACAACTTACACAGCACCCTTCACATCCCAAAGACGTCCCAAGGCGCTGGACAATCAGGGGCTTTTGGTTATGAATTAAAGTGATGAATGTTCCGAAAGTTTGTCGTAAATAAATGTTGCTCAAATCATAACGGTGCTTGCTATTCATTTTTTTTAACAATCGTATCGTCTGTGATTTTTGCTTTTGAATATTGCTTGCTGCCAAGCCAAGGCTATGAGAGTAACGGCAGGTAATGGGATCAAAAGGATTGCTCTTTAAAAGAGCCAGCACAGACACATGATTGGGCCAAATGGCCTTCTTCTGTGCTCTAACTTCCTTATGCTTCTACGGGTGTTTTAGAAAGAAAGTTGCCATTGAAGGATTAAGGCCATCAATGTTGTGTTTTTGCAAGTTTTGTTACTGGGATACTCACAGGAGGACCAGCAAATCCAGCAGGTCCGGCACCACCGGGATCACCACGCTCACCCTGAAATAGTAAAGGTAGAGGTTATTTAAAGACCTGGAGTTCAGAAAATTATTATTAATAACAAGAAGAATGTTTGCATTCACAATGGTGCTTCTCACATTGGGAGGAGGTCTTAAAGCACATTGCGGCACTCGCATGTGTATGTTGTACACTTGTTTTGCATACTTGTGTTTTTTGAATGCTTAAAAGTTTGAAAGAAATCTCAAAGAAAGTTCACCAGTATATATATATGTGTATACACACAAACACAATAATAATAATAATCCTTGTGTTTGATATTGTTTCATTCAGACGTCCCAAAGCACTTCCCAGGATTTTACTGTGTGTTTGTAGGCACACACAAAGAGCCGTGAAGTTAATGGAATTATCTACATTTATATGAGAAGGCAAACCCTGACATACTGTTCACTGAAGTCAAGCCTTGTGTAAAGGTCACTTACTGCAGCACCACGAGCACCACTGGGACCAGCTGGGCCAGGAGGACCTGCTTCACCCTAGACACAGATCATAAAGGTGGTCATTAATGCCGTCGGGAGTTACAGACACACTGAGAATTTGCTGCACTTTTCCAAATCCCAATACAAACCACTAAACAACAATGGTAATCCTTGCGTTTGATACAACTCCTTTCATGTCAGGAGGGCTTCTGAAGGCGCTTTACAGGATTTTACTATAAAGTGAAGTGTAGTGACTGTGTGTTTTAGTGCCTTATTAGTAGTCAAACTGGCAAATCAACTAGTTAACCTACAGACGTTACCGCACTCCTCCTCTCTTCTTCACCCCCGTCCACCCCCCACCCCCTTCCCATGGCCTCTCCTTGCACAGTCTGGGGTCCCGCCAAGTCTTGGTTCTTGCCCAGCAGAGAGTGCTTGGTTCAGCAGAGAGTGGCTCACCCGGGAGAGAAGGAGCACAAGCCATTCCAGTCATGCTGAAACACGTGGAATACTTTGGATGGAGGCTTTTAAGCGCGGTAATGGTAATATGTCAGTCAGACACTCGCCAACCAAAAGATAGAAAAATTATTATTCAGTGAAATTACGTTCAGGCTCAAGCGGACATGGAATGGTACGGATGACTAGACGAAAAAACAACTATTTCTGAAAGGGATTTCAGGCATCACAACAAAATCCAGGAGATAGATTGTTTACAGCAAGCTTTGGAGATTTACCCACATTGGATGGATGATTAACCCCAATTTTACGGAAAAATAGTATTAACAGCAAGAGAACATGAAAAAGCTTACCTTGTCACCAGATGTACCAGGAGGACCAGGTTGACCAATTGGACCAGTGAGACCCTAAACAAGATAACAGGGTTATTGAAATGAAACTCTCCGTGGTCAGCCAATATTGACTGTGCTGAAATCTGTACACCAGCAAATGGCAATGGAATGAGTCTATTTTAATGCATTAACAGAAAGCTTCTGCTTAATAGGAGTGATGTCAAAACTATCGTTTTCAACTACTTACACGGATTCCATCCTTGCCAGGGGCACCGTCAGCTCCCTTTGGACCTCCATCACCCTAGTGGAGAGAGAATTACATCAGTTGAAGCAGGGCAGAGGATAGCATAGAAACAACAGTCCCTCTAGCCTGTTCCACCATTTTATAAGATCATGGCTGATCTGCACTTCAACTCCAAATACCCGCCCTTGCCCTGAGCAATGTGGGTGATCCCCAGTGTAAGAGGATTGAGCTATGAGGGATGATAAGACAGGCTAGGCCTATTGAAAAGAGATATCGCTGAGGGGACCTTGCAGGGCATGCAAGATTTTAAATGGGATTGAGTAACTAAACCCAGATCTTTTGTACTGATACAGTAGAATAAGCAGGCATTAGCTCGTTGTTTGCGGAAGGGGGCAATTTCAGGGCAGACACCAGTAAGTATTTCTTTAACCAGAGGGCAATTAATGACTGGAATGGGTCACCCGAGGTCACAGGAAGGAGGTTCAGGCCAGGACACTGGGAATCATTGGAAAAAACAGCTTGACTGACACGGCAATGGGAGCATAGACATTGTGGAAGGATGAGATCAAATGGGATGAAAGGGCCTTTATCATCTGAGCTCCTGTTGTTATCTCTTGTTTGACACTATCTACTGGTTTGAGGACCTTTCCATTGGACGTATCTGAGTGTTAATATAGATGGCTATGCGGATACTCACTCTCTCTCCCCTGATACCAGGAAGGCCAGAAGCACCACGTTCACCAGGCATGCCTTGGAGGCCAGGGGGTCCTTGGACACCAGGGGAACCAACTGCACCAGGGTCTCCCTAAAGGGGATGAGGAACAATTAAACCTTGCACCAAATGTATGTGTGTGTCTGTGTAAGTGTGTGTGTGTGTTGTGTGTGAGTTGCATGTGTATGTGTGGCATGAATGTGTGTCTGTCTCTGTGCCCATGTATGTCTGTGTACATTTGTGTGCAGATGTCTGTGTGTGTGTATGTGTGTGTGTGTCTGTGTGGCCTGCACATTTGTTGCGTGAACGTACCTTGGCACCATCATTACCAGCAGCGCCTGGTGAACCGCGAGCACCTGGAGAACCCATGGGGCCAGTAGCACCACGTTCACCTGAGAGACCTCTTTCACCCTAGAGCAGAGGAGATCCCAACATCCCATTAGATAGATGGTAACAACCAATGAAGCAAAGTCATATCGGTAGGGAGAGTGGAGAGCGAGGAAGATCGACTGAAAAGTATTGGAAAGACTTACTCTTCCACCAGCAACACCTGGAGCACCTACATCACCGGGGACACCCTATGGACAAGAGAAGAAATAAGCATTAGATTAATTGACTTTTTCATAGATTTGACAATACTGCAAGACTTCTAGAGAAGGCTTTCATTCTAACCCTGCCCATTATTGCAGTATACTCTCCTTCGTTGTCAACCCGCGAACACAGAACGCAACTCCAGTCTCATTCCATGTACCACTGTACCAGCCACGCATTACAAAGGTGTGGAATTTAGAACAAACTTTTTGCCAGGTGTTGCTTAGCTACATCTGGGGAGGGAGGGGGGGAAGTTAGTGCAACGCTTAACAAATGTCCCCTCTCTCTGTGCTGAAATTTCTATGATTTTGTGAGATTATTAATTATTGTAAACTTACCCACAAATTCAGTGTCAGATGAAGCAAACACTAAAATAATAATCCTCCATTTTTCCTTGACAAGCGGGCTTTTGCAATGGCCAATTAAATACAGCCAAGGGACTCGCACTTTCAGCCTTCCATCAAGCGCATTGAAAAGCACTTTGCAATGGATTTTGACCAGTATTTTGTTGTTTTTCATGCATGCTAGTCGTAGTATCACAAAATGTAACCTTCCCTTTGAGGTACTTACCTGTTCACCGGGTTTGCCAGCTTCACCAGAAGCACCTGGAGGCCCGGGAAGGCCCTATAAAGTAAGATACAAATATAATGCATGAGTAAAGCATTAGGGCTTTTATTCATAAAAAATACCCTTGCACTGATTTTTTTTTGTGAAAGGGATTGTAAAAGTTGTTCATACCTGGAAGCCAACAGGTCCTGGAAGACCTTGTTCACCTTTGTCTCCAGCAGGACCCTAGGATTGGAAAAAAATTGATTAAATATGTTTTAATAAGCCTTGCATTTGATACAGTGTCTTTTTACATCAGCGCAACGCAGCAAAGGGCTTCACAGGATTTTACTGTAAAGTGTAGCAAGCGCGTATTTTAAAAATCTTACATGTGGAGATTCTTTTTTTACTGAAGAGTTTATATTAATCAGCACTAAAATAAGTGGCTACTCAGCCGCCTTGAAGGGTAACTGTTGGACGGAAACGGCCTCCAGAGATTGGGGCAGGGGCAAGGAGTGACAATGAGTCCAGTGACCCATCAAACTCTGCTTCAGGGAGAATCCTGCCTTCTCTCTCTCTCCACCACGCTCCACACCATCTTTTCAGCATGTACTTTGCCTTACAACCTATGCTGTACAAGTTGGCAAACTTGGCAAAATTGTCCACGAAGAGTCAAGATGTCCACATGTATTTTGTGTGAATTTCTATTGTCTGCAGTGTTAAACCGGGGATTCTTCGAGGCTATAATGTGCTGACTTAGTTTCAAAGCATTCTCCCCTCTGACCCACCCACCCACCCACCCTCACATACAATTCATTAGATGTTTACTTACAGCTGGGCCGGGAGATCCAGGGGCACCAACTTCACCATCTTTGCCAGCAGGACCCTAAAGAGGAAAGAGGTATAAAGAGATTCAATGCACCTTTACCCATGCTGTAACTTAATCTAATTGGCAATAAATGCCTTGAAATAAGAACCAATGGAAACCAATGTACTCACCACTCCACCAGTAAGTCCAGCAACTCCCTTCTCACCAGGTTTGCCAGGCTCGCCCTGTACAACAAAAGACAAGACTTAACAGGGGCTTGTGGCATGCAGTGCATGATAGTCGATAATATTAATAATTAATAATCCTTGCCCTGTGATGCAGCGCTCCTCACATTAGGAGGTTGTTTTGAAACGCTTCACAGGATTCAACGTAAATTTGCGGCCAATTTGCGTTCACGACATTCTGCAAACTGCCATAAAGTAAATGATCGATTTTAATCAGAGGAGGGATTGTCAGCCAGGACAATGGGAGAAACTCCCTTCTCTTTTCAGAATCTTCCAATGTCCACCTTCGACAAAGCAGCACTGCACTGGGGACTCAGCCTTGACTGTGAGCTCAAAATCCCTAACACTGTAGATTTATACCCACAACCTTCTGGCCAGGCCGACACACCGTAAAATAAGTGCATAGAGGATTGAAATTTCTCCTAAAGCTGGAGGATGCCTTGGGGGCATTTAACGCTGGCTCATCTTCTACTCTTCTCTCTGTCACCAAAGCGATCAGAAAGCACGTCGTGTTGATTCGATGCGAATACTTACAGCAGCGCCCTTACCACCAGGGAATCCCATGACGCCAGGTTGACCTCTGGCACCAACACCTCCTGGTGCACCAGCACGACCATCTTGACCAGGAGGACCCTTTTTAAGGTTAAAAATTATACATTTTAGGCAACAGAGATATATGCAAATTTCCCCACAAGTGTCAAGCCCAATAATGGAATAACAGGCAGTTGTTGGATATCCTTTAAGAAGAAATGACTGGGAATCAATGAAAGGGGATCCGTAAGTATAAAGCAGGATACAGGGGGAAGTAACTAAAGGGATTTTGGAAGTATTGTTGGATTGTGTTTTTGAGAGCTGAGAATAAAATAGTGATTTCTACGTTTGGGATTGCGAGAACATAATAGGCAGCAGGGATGGTCTTATTAAACAAATGTGTGTGTGAGCTATTTTACGTCACTATGTGTGTTTTTTTTGCTGCTGTACCCACCCAATGTAGAGTTATTAGGAAAAGGAGGGAAGAAGGAAGTACTTACAGTTGCGCCAGCCTTTCCGTCAGGACCAGGGCTTCCAGGGCTACCAGTCAGACCCTAGACAAGGAAGAAAGGCAAATGGTCACATTATAGAGAGATCGTCGGGTGAGATGGACGATGAGAAGTTCTAACTCACACGATTAACCGATCTTTCTCAACAGTGGGCCTGAATTCTGATACTGATGCTAGAAATGCAACGGGTCTAGGTTTACTTGATATGTCCAGTATTGTTAATTAATTTGGCCAGAGAAAAAAAACTTCAAGCTTAATATTGAATTCTCAACGATTTACTAAATTTAACAATTTGCTCAATTCTGGATTGCATATAGAGTTACATATGGCATGGAAACAGGATATTCAATCAGTCTGTGACCGTGTTAATATTCCACACGAGTCCCCACCCTTCCAATAACCTCTCCTATACCCCTCTATTTCCTTCTCTCTCTCTCTCATCAAGTTTCTTCTTAAATATGTTGATGCTCTTTGCTTTGACCGCAGCTTCCGGCAATGAGTTCTCACCACCCTCCGAGTGAAGTTCCTGCTAAACTCCATTTAGATGTGCTCCTGGCTAGCTTATATTTATACCTTCCAGTTTTTAATTCAAACAGGTGGAAACAACCCATCAACATCCACCTTATGGAATCCTTTCAACACCTCTATCTGGTCCCCCTCTCAACTCTAGAGAGAAAACCTCTTAACTGTCCTATCTTTCTTGATATCTAGATATCCCTGGCAACACCAGCTGCGCAAATGTTACATAAATGGAGTCGGTCTAAGTCCCTATACCATAATGGCTGACTTTTTAACCAGCAAATAGGACAAAGGTTTTCGAACAATCTTAAGTCAGTGCATGTTCTAATGTCATCTGCAATATTGCAAAGAGATCATGGATTTTTGCCCCTTTCTCTCAATGACACAAGCCAAACAGTCCGTGCACAATAAAATAGGTGTATTTACTTTGTTGGCTCATGGCTTTGTAATAGATACGGTCACTATAATAGTAATAATAATAATCCTTGCATTTGATATAGCGCTTTATCACGTCTCAAAGCACTTCACAGAATATATTGTAAATTGAATTGACTGTATGTTTTGTGGGCCAAACGCAGCAGACAATTGCACACAGCAGTGACACCACAAACAGCATCTCTGCAGGCGTTCCTAGCGATCTGATTTTACTTCTCGGATAGATTCATTTTGGCCTTGTTCGCCTCCAACGCATTTGCACTCGCTCACTGCTTGGTCAGGTGTGAAATACTTACTCTTGGGCCAGGAAGCCCAGCCTCACCGGGTCGGCCAGGTTCACCAGTTGCACCTTTGGGACCGACAGCACCAACTCCACCGCGCTCACCAAGCTGACCCTGTTGTACAACACAAAAACACAAGGACACGTTAACAATAATAATGATAATCCTTGCATTTGATATCGTGCCTTATCACGTCTTCAAGACGTCCCAAAACGCTTCGCAGATTATACGGTAAAGTGAATTGACTGTATATTTTGTGGGCAAAACGCAGCAGCCAATTGCATACAGCAGTGTTCCACCAACAGTCGTGGATTGAAGTGACCAAATTATTATCATTATTTTTCGAACGAATTATTACCCCCGGAAAAACGATCCGGCGATCGACTAATAACCAGGTTCCTACTTACTGCTAGGTAAACAGAGGCATGCGGAGTAAGGAACCTTGCCCAACGTTCGCCCAGCCGGGAATCAAACCCAAGTTTCTTGCTTGTGAGGTAAGTGCTCTAAAACACTGAGCTACAAGAGCACAAAGGGTATAAAGGGTAACAGACATACCTTAGGACCAGGCAGACCATCAGAACCAGGGAAACCACGGCTTCCAGGGCCACCCTGTAATAAAGAGAGAGAGGATCATTATAAGGTGTTGCCAAACTGCAGCCGATGTTGGAAATGGAAATGGAAGCTCGATTATTTATCTCAATGTCAACTTCCTCAACTTACACGTTCACCAGGGGCACCAGCCAGACCTTGAATACCAGGTTCACCACGAGCACCTCGCTTGCCTTCTTCACCAGCTGGGCCAGGCAGACCTTGAAGGCCAACAGGACCCTAGAGATTGATCAATCAGAGTTGTATCGTCAGTGGATGCCTTATGTAATTCTGCTGCAATAGTGTATTATTCTTCGAGTCGATCGGGTTATAATGCAATAATAATCACAGCCGCAAGGGCTCCAGTGATTGCAACGGATTATTAATTGTAAGTGAAACAATGTACTTACAGCTTCACCTTTCACGCCATGTTCACCCTTGGCTCCAGGAGCACCAGGTTCGCCCTAAGGTAGGAAGACAATGTTAAAGCCCCAATCGGTCAATCAAAAAAAGCTTCACATTCCAGGTTCTTTCAGGTCCACTCAGTTATCTTGTAATCCATCAGCATTACAGTTGATGTTGGTCTCAAGTTAATTATTCTGCCTACAATTCTACATCCTCAAACATACAGGCAAGGCAAGGCTGGAGAGGCAAGGGTGGAGAGAAGATATGACAGGCAAGGGTGGAGAGAAGATATGATCATCATTTGCACTAACGCGAACAAATGTTTAATTGTGTGCTCAACGTGATGAAACGTTGGCTGGTTTGAAGAGATTGTGTGATGGATGCTCAACTATCTCCTCCACCTGTTACTTTCACTTAAATTCAACATCTTCTCCCATCTATTGATGAGTTATTTTAACCACTTATGCCAACAATACTTGGAAAGTTGTTGGAAATTTGACTTGCTTGGTTGCTTAAATGGGTCAAACTCCAATGGAATGGATGTATTGGACGTCCCATGGCACTGTTCTCATGCAAATGGTGAACTAGAACGGCCAGGCATCGGAGGTCATTTTTCAGTTTAGCGAACCAACTGAGATGCTGATATTTTTGGGGATCAAAGAGTGATTGATCGATCATGCCGGAAAGCCACCAAAATGAGTGCAAATGGGATTCTCCCAGTCTCAGTCTTGTAACCAACTCCCAGTCCAGTCCATTATGTGGGCTCAGCCGATTACTTACAGTATTGCCTTTGGGTCCAGGAGCACCTCCAGCACCTTGAGCACCAGCGGGTCCACGTGGGCCGGGGAAGCCGGGAGCACCAGCAATTCCGGGAGCGCCCTGGGATACAAGAAAAAATTACATTGGTATGGAGCCTTTCATGTCAGTCAGGGATCCGCACGCAAGCTGATGGTTGGGATCAGGAGGGGTGGAAGGCTGGCAGGGTTGGGTAGGGGCAGGAGGGTGACCGAAGGCATGGTCGAAGAGGAGGGTCTTGAGACGGATCTTGAAGGAGGTGAGGAGTCCAAGGCGGAGGGAGGGACTGTGGGAATGGTGTACCAGAGGGTGGGGGCAGAGAAGCTGAAGGCACTAGATACAAGGTCAGATAACTCAGATTCTCACTGAAACATTTGAGCACAATTGATTTTTTTTCCCCAATTAAATGAGTTACTTACAGTTGATCCCTTTCCACCAGGTTGGCCGTCGGATCCAGCAGCGCCCTAGTGGTGAAAAAAGAAAACACAGGGGTAAGAACACAGAACTTCCAACACAACGCAGTCGCCAATTTGACGGGAGAGAAATTCCACCAGAGTCTCTTGATTCACTCTTTTCACTCGATGGTTTGGCAAATTCTTAAATCAATTTTCAAGGCCTGTTTGATTCCGTGGGTTTCCTTTGAGAACTGATAGGAAAGCAGGCTTGAAAGTTAAGGCCAATTTCATCAATTAGTCAAATTCTGGACATTTGTCATGCCAGAGGCGTTGATCTGGACCCAGGTGTAATTTCTTCCCCTCTCCCGCCGAATGTTCATGTTAAGAGGTAGAGGTCTCAAAGTGCTTCTCACAGGGTTTACCGTAATGCAAAGTGACTGCACGAATGCAGAAATGTAGACAGACAGCAACGTCCCACAATGTTCAATCGTTTACAGAGTGATGTCTTTTCAGGCATCGAGTGACTCTTGAGTTTGATTATTGCATCTTTTCACATCAGGAGCAAGTGACAAATGCGCTTCGCAGGATTTTTACTGTGAAGTGCAGTGACTGACTGGGTGTTTTGTAAGACTGATGGGTCCAGTGTTGTTTCTACTGTGATTTGTCAACTGGTTCCCATGCCTAATGTGACACTGCAGTTGAATGTCCACGCTGAAGACCGAAGATCAAGTGCTCCGAGATGCTGCCCCGCGTGGAAGGCGCTACATAAGTGCAAGTTGTTGTTGTCGACTTACAGGAGCACCAGCTGGGCCAGCGGGGCCAGGGGTGCCAATTTCACCACGACCTCCTGTGGCTCCTTCAGCACCACGGCTTCCGCTAGCACCGATTTCACCCTGAATTCAAAGCAAAGAGATAACATTATAGAACGCTACATGTTGAGCGATGCTCAGTGTCAGCGATACAGTCTCAGGCATAGTGCCCTTCCAAGCATTATTCCACCGAACTATACAACACAACATGGAAATAGGTCATTCGCTCCCAATTTGTCAATTCCCATGTTTGTCCTCCACATTAGGCCTGCTATTCTCCTTCTCTGCCATACTCAATTCTTTCTCCACAAGTTTCCACTAATCAATGCTTTCTGCCAAGATCACAGTTTAAGGCTTGGAGTTCCACATTCTCAACAGCCTCTGTGTTAGAAGTTCCACCTGAACCAATAACTCAAAGTTGAGTTCCCCCAAAACTGTCCTGAAAAACTTTTGAAACTTAGTAGTCGGTAAACTATTGCTAAACATCTATGGTGGTCCGAATGGCTCATTCACATTGGGAGGAAGGCAATAGAGGAAAGAGCAATGTTTGACCCTCTGTTGAGAGTTATTTGGTATGAGCCAAATAGCTTGAGAGACATTGCCTAGCTCCATCATAGTTCCTTGAACGTCTTAGGAATGACAACCTCCCAACCCAACGTCATTGCTAGTCTGTGTGATGCAGGACTATTTGAACAGGTTAAGTCAAAATGAGCAAAACATATCTGTAGAAATGTAAAAATAATGAGTTTTGCTCCCAACGTTGGTGACTTAAAGAAACAGAGGAGGGTGTAATGTGGCTTTAGTATGAGGTATGTCAGTGAATGCCTCAAAACTTAACCCGTCAGTCTCCTCCATGGCCAAGCCTTCAGGAAAAATGCTCTTTCTTCGGATTTTAGAGTATACATAACTCTACCTCTCCCCTGAGTGCTTAATGCTCCTGATATTTCCTATCCCTTTGTGACTCTCCCATTCTCAGTCCAGTTGAGTACAAGTGTTCATAGTAAAACAAGAGCTAGAATCTTAGAACCCTGGTCCAGCCAAGGTTGCCAGACAACCCAAAAATAAGACCTCAGCCTAAAACACAGTAGATTCTAGTCTTCTAGATAAAAGCCCTGACCATGTTTGCACTGATATTGTGAATAAGCGTTGGGTGTCCTTTTGGGGTAAGATTTCCTCCAAGTCTCTGACCTGTCCATGCAGATTGATGCCCACTATTATGTTCTTAGTGCCCATTGAAAAGCCCTCTATATTATATTGTGGGTAGGTGAGGTGAGTCTCAAACGCAACCATTCAGTGTTCTGTTCTGGTAAAAAAAAGTTTTGTACCTTTGCACCTGGAGCACCGGGGAAACCAGGAGCACCAGCAGGTCCAACAGGGCCCTAAGAAATGAATGCAATGAGAGATCGATTACATTTCAGTCTGCGAGATCTCCTCTTTGTTAGAAATATGCTGAGAACAAAAAGGCAAACAAGCCAAGATACTTACGGGAGGGCCAGCACTACCAGGAGCACCATCATTACCACGAGCGCCCTGGAATAATGTAAAAGGGGAGAATTTATTAGCAACGCCAGCTCCCGAGGTGGGGGCGGGGACAAGGCAAAGTGAATGGGGTGCGATGGAAACCACGCAAGGTGTGGGAATCAACTTGCAATGTTGTACTCACAGTGGGTCCTGGCGGTCCAGAGCGCCCTCTCTCACCGGAAAGACCACGAGCACCCTAGCAAAATAAAACAAAATCATCTTATTCCATCGTATTTCAGGCGTTTTGACTCTAAGTGCAAAAGTATGTGATTTAGTTTGCACGTTCACACCTTATGAATAATAATAATAATAATCCTTGCATTTGATATAGCGCTTTTCACGTCGAGAGGACGTCCCAAAGCGCTTCACAGAACACACTCTAAAGTGAATGACTGTATATTTGTGGGCGAACGCGGCAGCCAATTGCGCACAGCAATGTCCCACAAACAGTCGTAGATCGAAAATGACCAATTTTATTTATTGTTTTTTGTTTTGGAGGGATTATTATTAGGTGTGTGGAGTAAGGAAACTTGTAAGGTGTAAGGTGCAATTCAGACTCACATGAGTCATGATAAGTAATAATAATGGTAATATTAATCCACATTCAGTGCAGCGCCTCTCACATGGGGATGACATCTCAAAGCTGTTTACAGGTAATACTGTAAAATGCAGTGGCTGTGTATTTTATAGGCATATTGGTGGTTATTGGCAATGCCATTTTACAATGCAAAGGAAACATTGATAAATTACTCTGCTAAAATGTGACCGAAGTGTGGCCCGTCCTGTCCTTCGCATTTAGTAAGCCTCTCTACTGCAAAGGCGTCAGGCTAGCATTGTGGATCGAATATGGTCATTGCAGGAGATGGGGGGAAAAGTGCTTACCATTGCACCAGGAACACCATTTTCACCTGAGGCACCAGTCTCACCCTGTACAGAAGGAACAGAACAAATGCAATCAGAGCACAGCGTCATCACAGCCCAAATAATATCGGCTGGTCTTCAGAACTAGGGTCGAAAGAGCCTTTTAAAGCCCAAGAAAGGAAAACAGAGTGTTTACCTTGGGGCCAGCAGGACCAGATTCACCCTTTGCGCCATCCAAACCATTGTAGCCCTGAAAAGGAATAACAAGACAATGTTTTAGCATTCCGCTGACCGTGTTTTCGCTTTGTGTGTGGCATTCACACCATGGCATTGGTTACTCAATAGTTGTGAACTTTTTTTTATATAAAGAGTGGGTGTTGCAATTGCTCAGTCAACAATAAGGTTGCAAGTTTGCTCATCTGACCACATAAAGAACCACATAAACACAGACTTACTCTGTGTCCCTTGGTGCCAGGAAGTCCAGGAGTTCCAGGGAAGCCACGTGCACCCTAGGAAAGAGTAAAGACATGTGAGACGTAAGGACACACAAGTCCATAGTCTTTTTGTTTGCCTGTTGCAGTAATGCCTATCCCTTCTATATATAGATAAACTCAGTGTGATCTTGGGTGAGGATTTAATCCTGATGCAAATTATACATTTACTCGTTTGTTTTCGATCAAAATCTTTCGCCTTAAGTTTTCTTTCCCCATCCCTCAAGTTGGACAGTGAACAATAATAAATAATAATAATCATAATCCTTGCATTCGATACAGTGCCTCATTATGTCTTTGAGGTGTCTCAAAGCGCTTCCTTCACAGAATAGACTGTAAAGTGAATTGACTGTATGTTTTGTGGTGAAATATACAAGTAATAGGCAGGGAAATGGGACTGAAAGGATTGTTCTTAAAAGAGCTGGTACAGGCACAATTAGTGGGGTGGGGGGGAAGGGGGAGGAGACATCGTCTGTATATTTCCATAGTTCTAAACATGTCTACTCAGCGATAAATGTAGGAGATGGTTTACCTGGGGTCCAGGGGCTCCACGCTCACCAGGGCGACCAGGTTTGCCGGGATCACCCTGAACAAGAGAGTGGGGAGAAATAGAAGGGAAAAAAAAGGTTAAGACGCAGCTTAAGCTACAAAAGAAATCAGACTCTGATTCCAAATCACTGCTAACACGTAATCATGATGTGGGTCAATGGTGTTACAAGCCCCCATCTTAACACTAGCCTCCCATGTACGATTTCATTAACCACTGGTGAATCAGGGCAGTTCAACAAGAAAGATTGATTTCCCGTTATTGAATGCAACTGAATGACTTCTACTGTGATTCTGCTCACTCAAATCAGTTCTATCCCTTAACCCGATGGCAGGTAAGCAGGCACCTGTTAAGAGAGTCTCATCCACACTCTTATCAGTACTTACGTCATCACCATTCTTTCCGGAAGGTCCTGGAGGACCACGTGGACCCATTGGACCCTGGAGAAATAAAATGTATCCCAATATTAATAACAATAATAATCCTTGCATTTGATACAGCGCCTTATCACGTCTTCAAGACGTCTCAAAGCGCTTCACAGGATACACGGATGTGTATTGACTGTATATTTTTGTGGGCGAACTTGACAGCCCAATTACGCACAGCAGTGTCCCACAAACAGATGTGGATTGACGTGACCAATTTATTTTTATTTAATAAAATAAAAAAGGGGGAGGGCGCGGGGAGAAGAAACAACAGCAATCAAAAGATCACTGTTTCCTATGGTCAACTTGACTACCTTTCCTCCTTCAAGGCTGGTCTCAAGACCTTTCTCTTTGACCGTGCCTTCAGCTCCCCTCTCGACTCTCTACCCCCTCCTCACTCCCTCCCTTCCCTCTCCTCACCCTGACCATTTCTCCCCTGCTCGGGTCCTGACCCAACTGTCCAGTGCCTTGGGACGTCCCCCCGACGTGAAAGGTGCTCTATAAATGAAATCTTGTTGTTGTTGTTGTTCATTGTACTGCATTGAGGGTCATTGCTGGGTGATGAGCAGTGTGTGTTTGTTCAGGGCTGTTAATTTGGGAGTCAAGCCTCTCAAATAGAGTTTCTCCCTGCGCATGGGTCAGTAATTTGCAAAGTTACTCCTCTTGACTGTCTCTGAGGTTACTCCAAGCGCGACAATGCAGTTTCTCGTTACTTACGGTTGCACCAGGCTCGCCAGGCTCTCCTTGGTGTCCTTGGAATCCTTGGGGGCCCTGGGGATTGGAGAAACAAGAGAACATTGTGTGAATGGTGGACCCCTGATTTTAAAGGGCTCTTGAAAAAAAATTCCATGTTATTCTTTTCTCTCTCTCTTCTTTCACATTTTCTTTTCTTAAATCGGGCAAAAATCTGTTGGGAGTAGAGCATGCAGGTCAATGTTTCCAGCGAAACAACGGGCAGGCAGACAGGCAGACATGAAAGCAGGTGGGTGGGCAGGGAGACCAGTGAGTTAGCGGCAATTGGACTTACAGATGGTCCAGATGGGCCGGGAGGTCCTCGGGGTCCCATTGGGCCCTGAAATAGAACAGAGAAGAAACAAATGACTTATTGAAGAGGCCAGATACTTTGTGGAGTTGTCATGCATGTCATTTGACCTTTTGGGGTTAGACTGGATTGGATCGAATTGTTACAGACATCCCACTGTGCTTACAGCACTCACCGTGATCCAAATGCATTTGAAGGTCACACAATTTGTTTTGACATTAAGTTACAGCCTGCATTTGCTTCTCACAGCTGGAAACCCTCCCCAGATGTGTTCTCATTGTATGTTAACGTAAGACCATAACATAAGAAATGCCCAGGCGAAATAAAGACCAAGGTCCATCGAGTTTGACTTCCACTATCCTGGTAGTCGCAAGCACATAAGTCCCGAACTACCTACATGCTATATCCTGTAATGTTATTTCCTTAAAGAAAACTAATCTAATTGTGTTTGAAGGAATTCACATGTGCTCAAATAACTGCACCCATTTTTTTCATAGCAAAGAGAGAGGGTTGGCTCTTTATCCTTAAGAAGCCAGAGAATAAAGAAAGAGTTCTTACCATAGGTCCAGGCATGGGGATGCCACCAGATGTTTTCTCGTCGTAGCCGCCAGACATTTGAGAAGCGAAGTTCTGGAAGAGAGCGAGATGCTGTTAAATACTCTCTCTCGGGCTGCAAAACTGTCTAAGAGCCGTCAAACTATTCAGCCATTGACGGAAAGTCACGAAAGCAATGCAAATGAAAAGCTGACTTACTCCGCCAAGGCCAGGTGGGCCTGGGGGACCGGGCTGACCAGGGGACCCTGGCTGACCAGGTTGGCCTGGGATTCCATCTCTTCCTCGTGGACCTTGAAGACCCTGAATTGAGAGGGTAGAAAGGTTTGGGGTTAATAACGCACTAAAAATAAAGAAGCCAACAGAAACTAAAGTTGCACAGAAACAGTGGGGATAGCGCTCCCACTTTTGCTGCATTGGTGTCCAATTTGCAGTATTTCTTCATGGGTTTCTTAAAATGAAAAGGCGTCGTCGTCCTCACACTTTCAACAGGTGTTTGTTCTGGTGTCTAAAAAAGCAGCAACGCATTCGGGATGCGTACATAGCAATACAGCAATAGTGAGGCGGTTTTAAGCTAAATAAAAAAAAAAAAACACAAAACAATTACTTACTGAATCACCCTTTGCACCACGATCTCCCTTGGGACCTGGAGGACCCTGGAAAATAAAACCAGAGAAAATCACAACTGTAAGTTCATTTTATAAGTGGAAACACTGGCAGCGCATCCAAAGGTATTTTTGAGATCAGTTGTGCTATATTGCGCATAGTAAAGGCAGATTAGTTGATTACCTGTACTTCAGGGCCAACGGGGTACTGGAATGAACAAAAGACAATGGGTTAGAACAATGCAAGCAAAAACATATGGACCACAACAAGTTTCACATCAATGTCACTCAGAATTTTGTAAAGAAAGAGTCTGTACTTACTTGATCTCCGCCTGTAGCTGGAAGGAAGAGGGGAAGAAAGAGAGAAAGAGAGATAGTCTTTGAGTTGTGAAGTTCAGCTTGTAAACATATGCCTCATTGCTCAACAATACTATTAAGTGTGACAGTAAGTCAAAATTCTGTATAACCTGTATTTCATATCCTTTCATTTTTTTTTGTGGGTTGGGGAGAACATGATTGATTGAGTGAATGCTGTCCGCTTTTATCCTGAACAGAATAAAAGTTTTTGGGGGGCGGGGAGGGGAAGGGGACAGAAATAATCACCCAATTGTTTTATTACAATCATTTAATGTCTTGATTTGACTATGTCATTAATGGCATCAACTGGTGTGAATCAAGCTCATTGGAACTCTATCTCGTGATCAAGAATGGGACATTGCACTGTTTTCCTTGTTTGTTTTTGTCCCGACCCCCCAACTTAAAAAAAATTAAATATAATTAATTTGACAACACATAGTGAACATCACTAGTATGTTGCAGAATGACTTGTGGGCAAAACATTCAATGCAATTTCCAATGGTTTCTATAAAATATTTCTGTATTATTAACAAAAATCACTGACAATTCAACGACGATTATTGCTGTTAAAGTGCTGAGAATCTAAGAATCATCACTCTACCGCAATGGTATATTGCTCCTATAATGTGACAACATGAGCATGTGTTGCCCAATAGCTTTCAAAATTATTGCAATGATCACAATTCTGTTACTCCTATCGGATTCCCTTTATTTTTGAATGGGTCTCCTAAGCTCAGATGAGGACCACATGTCACCAATTTCTAACCATTGTTAAATTCAGAGGATCATAGAGGGCCATTTCATCGTGCATTTTGCCATCTGAAATCAAGGGCAAACTCATGATCACATAATAACTGATAACACTGAAGGATGGTGATAATAATAATAATCCTTGCATTAGAAACAGAGCCTTTCAGATCGAGAGGAAGCCTCAAAACGGATCACAGGAGTTACTGTGTCATGTAATAACTGTGTATTTTGCAGACAAAAAAAAAAGTCTTGCACTTACGGTCCCCGAGACAGATAGGGCAACATTCTCCGAAGGGGATTTCAGCGTTGGGGCAATCATTAGTTTCCTCACAGATTATGTCATCACAGAGGATTTGACCACTGTCACAGACACAGATCTGACATGGTTCTGGTTTCCAGACATCTTTATCGTTGTACCTTTGTCCATCCTTTACACAGCTCCCAACTTCAGCTGAAAGGAAACCGACACAAAGTTCACCAACCACTAGTGTCTCCAGTACCCTCTCACAGGTGTAGAAATGTAACAACATGAGCCAAATGATAATGCAACGAAAAAAATACAAAACACCATCAGTTAGAGGGGAGGTAAGGTCAGCATAACTAACAGGTTATTTGTTGCTTAGCAACGAAATTACATTTGTATAGTGCCTTTTCCATCAGGAGAACATCCCAAGGTGCTGGACAGTCAGTGTTTCGGACACGAGCTGGGAGTCGGGTCCAAATTGAGAGATATGAGAAAACCCACACTGATTAACATTAAATACTGTACAGATAAAGTCACTGAACAACGTGGTTCGGTTACCTCCATCAGTGCCCAATACAGTTTGCACACAACTGAAATCCACACTCTGCACTTTATTGTGTTTCAGTTCAACATTATGAGTTTTAATACATAACTCTAACCATCCCAGAACTGTCACTTTTGTACCATTGCTGCCAGTTGGTGGTCATTTTGTTTCTACCCGCAACTGTTTCAGGCTCCCTCAAGTGTTCAGAACAAGTAGGATTGTTAAATCCAATCCAATTTATGAACGAAGAGAAGAACCACTAGATGGCCCTATAACCCAACATTGGGGTGTTTGACCCAATTGTCCAACTGAACCAACTCGCCATGAGAAATGGTACCCAACTGGGCCAAGTCACTTTCATCCTTTACATTTCCCATCAAAATTGATTGTAAAACACGTTAATGTTTGTTATTTTTTGTTAAATAAATGGTTATTTAAGACTTTCCAGAAGTGTAACTCCAGTTTTAATGAAAAAAGGGGATGAGCTTGAGGGGGTGGGGTGGGTAAGGGGAGAAATTGTACCTATTCGATTCATTGATGGTAGATGGCAGTGTTGAGTTGTGGCACAGAGCCTCTCCTTCCAACTTGTAGTGGCTTTGCATCTCACACGCAAACATCTGGATTGCTCCAATTTCCAAACCGTAATCTTTTCCCTTACACAATTCAGCTCCCCCTGGCTTGCATTTTGTTTTCTTTTTAACAAAAAGCAGATTCGAACTTGGCACGGGGAGTCGTCCTACGCACTGAAATTCCCTCAAGCCTCCAGACTGATATTCATCCAGGCAGGACTGACTCACATCCAAACTCCACTTAAAATATTTAGTCTGGGTTTGTTCTCTCCTCCACCCACCCCCTTCCTTTCTCTTTCCTTCTAATCAGTCCCTTAAGTATCTGGTAAATCACTGTCCAGATTATTACCTTGCCTGGGGATAGTGTTTTCTTACTGTCTAAACTAACTTGTTGAGACTCAAGAGTTGGTGAGACACACCCACTTTCTGTAGGAGACTGTTTTACACAAGAATTTCCCTTTCATTCTTCTTCGTTTTCTGACTTAACCACAGTCAAACTAACATTTGAATATCCCCTCCAGTCTTAATTTCACTTTTCTCCTTTTTTCAATTAAAAAAAATCCCACAAATAAACAACAAACACAATTTTGCGAGTCTCCTGCTATCTCTACAAGGCGGTGTAAATCTCTACAATGTTTAGAAGCCCAGTTTGTTTTTTACATTGGGCAGATGTTGTTTCTCCTCTCTCTCTCTCTTGTACGCTATTCCCTTGGGATGAAGACATAACTCATCAAGAAACCAAAAAAAAGAGGAATTCGTTTTGCCACAAAAACAGCAAAAGTATCCAAACTTTTTCCAAGGTCACTTTTTTTCTTCTTCTGCTGCTGCTTCTTCAATATAAAAACATCTGCTTCTCCTGAACTCACAAAACCATAAAAAAAACTTAACGAAAAAAAGGCACTTTTACACCGTGTAAAATTGAGGTCAACCCCAATTTCCCCAGCTATTTCCTTCTTTCTCTCTATCTATCTCTATCTCACTTTCCCCCCCTCCCTCGAAAAAAATACAGCATGTTCTTCCAAAGGAAAAAAACCTCCCCATCAATAACTTTTTATTTGATCCGTCGGACAACAACAATAAGTTTAGAAACGAACAATTAGTTCTTGACAAAGACACACACAACACACCATAACAAAACCCTCAACATCAAACGGACGAAAAGGTAGGTTGAAGGGCGAAAAAAAACATACAACAACTTGTAAACTCACCATCATCCTCTCCTTGACACTGTCCCAATATTAACGTTGCCGCCAGCAACAGCAAAGTCCGAGTATCCACAAAGCTGAACATGTCTAAATATTAGACATGTAGACTCTTTGGGGTAAAAAAAAGGAACTCGCTTTAGCGTCCGGACATACAATGTTTCTGGGTGTGTGTAATTCCAAACTCAGCACCAAACCCCAGCAGAAACTTCCTACTGCTTCGTTTACAGACCCACGTCCCCTTTTATGTTCGCCTTGAGTTTGGAGGTGTGATCAGTTGCCGCCCCTCTCAGGCGGGGGGTAGTCCATTTCACCCTCTGAAATCGACACAGTCCCCACCCTCCATGCTCAACTTGTATCCAGCTGAAATTGACATGTCTTCTCCACCACCCCCACCACCACCATCTCCAATTAAATTGGTGGGACAAGGGGAATCTGGACACTGGTTCTCACCCACTATTTGGACATCAGATCTCATCAGATCAGTGCATTAGTCTCTCACTCCCCCCCACCCAACACCACAACCCATTCCTTTCCCTCCCTCACCCACTCTTCATCTACGCTCCCATTTTCAAGAGCCATCATTGCCTATTCCCCCACCCGCCACCATCACACACAACTCCTCCCCCCACCCACCCCAAAAAAACTAATTGAAACCCATTCTTCTAAAGGAAAAATGGGACATAAACTCTCCAACCGCCCCCCATTTTTTTGGCATTGTTTCAGAGATGCCAGAGTGGAAAGACACGTCGCAGTCTGACTGGGTCACAGAAGGAAATGAGAGGGTGTGTGTGTGTGTGGAGGGGGAGATGGAAATTATCCAAGCCTAAGGAATGGGTGGCTTCGATTTTACGAACCAAACTTACACGTAATCACTTTTATCGATATGCCATCTGATCAGGGTGTTTTTTCTCTCTCTGCTTTTAACTCTCTCACTTTTAACTGTGGCTAAAACTAAAACGACTGATCACCACGGCCAAGAAACCCTTTTGCAACAAAAAACAAAAGAATTACAGTACTAAACTTTTGCCACAAAAAATAAGCCCATTGATCGAATGAGAAAAAAAGTCTATCCTTCCCCTCTTCCCTTCTCCCCACACCCAAAAAAACCCTTTCAAATAAATCCATCGATAATTTTAACAAGTGAGTGTGTGGTTTTGTACATTAAATTTTCTGTGACTGCACAAACTTCCTATGAAGCAGGGAGGTCTAAACCCTCCAGAGTAGAAAACTCAATTGTATTCGATGATGAACTGGCTTCTCCCCTCTTTCTATCCAATTTCACTACAAATCAGTTGTATATATATATATATGTGTGTGTGTATGTGCATATTTGCTCGGTGTAGTGTAGAGTGTCCCTTGAAGCCGCGAAAACTGCTGTCGCCTTGCGTTCAGAATCAAGCGTTCAAACGATTCGATAGTGCACCCAAGTCGTAAAATACCAACTGTTTGGCTCGCACTGGGGCCAAATTGACTTTATTTTAGCATCAGTTGTACACCTGCTAAATGTCCGGCCGTTGCTTTTCACAGGTACGATTAGGACTTAATTAGATTTATTGACGAGAGATGCTCTCTCTCTCTCACACACACACACACACACACACTCCCCATCATTGTTGACATTTCTTTTAAAGTGAAATTCGATTCAATGAAAGCTGAAAAGGGTGTCCCTTTTAACACGGTTTACATGGCTCAAAGACTGAAATCAAGGGCAATAGAGCTGACCTGCGTTTTTCTGATTTACAGCCAATTAATGTATACTTTGAAATTATAAACTAAAACTCTTCGAATGGCAATTAACGTCAAAACATTAACATCAAATTATTAATAACGTGCTTCCCGCACGTGAAACAAATCTTGCAAAAAATGTTTTGCAATAATTTTTTCGTTTGAAAATAGATTTTTTAATGCGGGTGGGTAGTGGGGTTTGCAGATTCAAGTTAATCTGCGGATACTCTCTCGGTTCGATAACATCGTTTGCGAAAATCGTTATCACCCAAAACCCTTGCGGATTGTAAAGACATAAAGAGCTGAGCTGTTTTTTTTTGAACGTTTTATTTATTTAAGAGAGAAAAAAATTCCTCACTTGAAATTTGTGTTGTGTGACTGCTTTGGCTGAAAGTTTGAGTAATTAATGACATGGTTAATTAATGTCGAGGTTGGGGTGAGGTCGCAGTGATTTTTAACGCGTGTAATTAACACGTCTGTTCGTTCATTGTTCAAACCCGACAATTCATAGACAGGATTTAAAGAGTTAAACTCATCTGAATGCCATCAAGGATCTATTTAACAACCGAAGGGTTGGCGGAAATGTGTCAGCTCAGTTCAGGGTTACGTGTTTTTTTTGCAGCAAGAAAAACATTTTTGTTTTTTTTAAAAAAATTAGAAAAGTTAGTGACAAGAGTTTTTCTTTAAAAAAAGAAAAACAATTACTTGACTCAAACGCCCCAATCCAGGGTTAAAATCATGAATGGGGGGCGGGTGAAAAGGGAAGTAAAATTGTCAGCGTCGATTAGAGAAAAATAAGACTTCTCTTTGCAGATTTTTTTTGCAGGTTTGACTCCTTAATCGTTTTGTTTAGTGGGGTAAAGAAAGTTGTGACTGATGTTAAGGTGGTGGTGTGTGGGGGGTGTATGTGTGTCTGAGTGTGTGTGGGGAGGAGGTGGGGGGGATAGAGAGACATATCACGAAATAATAATGGAAACTCGAGGAATGTTAAGCCCAGTTTGGTGGGTGTTTGGTAAATGGTTTAATAGGGCTTTGTATTCAAAGTATATTCAAATCCTTCCTCTTTCAGGTAGAATTCCCAGTCTGTGGGATTGACAGAAATAGGTTCCACGATTTAAGACATAATCCCTCCCTTCTCCCTCATCATTCTCCCCTCTGTCTGAATCGAAAGACAGACACCTCAGCACACTACTTGCTTGAAGCACTCTCTCTCGTTCTGATCTCGCCCTCCTTCCTGCCAGATTTCCTTACATAATAATAATAATGATAATAAAACCTATTATCACGGTCAGATCTGAGATCGATTCTTTACCAAAAAAACCTTTGGTTGCTTCTAAAACTTTAAAGCAAAGCAATAACTAGTTGCCCCGCATTGTGCAAAGGGAACTGATATGCAACAGGGAACTTTGTAGAACTAACTTGAATCACCCAGTTCATTATTAACCCCGTTTGCAGTCCTGCATCTGGTCGGGAAAGTGTTTCAGCTCTCTACCATTATTATATTATACAATCCTAAATTTGTGAAGGACAAAAAGATGCCAGGAATATGGTGGTGCAATGCTTATCCCAGTCTATACAAGCAAACTGACTTCTTTTTTCTCATCAAACAGTTCATCATCTGGAAAGCGTTACACTCGTTTACATCAACACTATTCCAGCTGCAGATGGGACGAATTACTTAACATGTTTTTTGGATCTTAAGAAAAGAGGAATGTCAGACTGGATGGTTTGGCTTTATATTGTTCACGTAGCCAATAGAGGCAAAAAGCCAATCTTCTCTGTGTTTTTTTTTACATTTTAAAAAAAAACACAAAGCCCTTTATTTTCTTACACTTTGGTTGAATCAAATCGATTCAACGAAAAAAATCATTCAAAAGTAATATTTGATCTCAAACTCATCCGACTTGTAATGGTAAGTGAATTGGTAATTGACATTTTGGCATCTCACTGCCTAATTCAGATAAGGCCTGTTGAGGTGGACGTTTAAGATCCTACTCAAAAAGAGAAGGGAGTGTCTTCCTGTCTCCTGGCCCACAATCCCCCAGATAAAACTTTATGGCTGTTTGTGGGACATTACTATGTACAAATTGGCTACAAAATACACAGTCACTGCACTTTGCAGTAAACCTTGTGAGGCGTTTTGAGACGCCCTGCTGATGTGAAGGGCGATGTATCAAATGCACAGATTACTATTATTCCCCCTACAATCATTTCCAGAATTTTAATTTCACATATCCTGCAATTCCAAAGTTATACAGTTACAAGTTACTGCAATCACAAAATGTACAGTTAGGTGGGAAGTCAAAGAAAGAGCAAGACAGACAGAAAGAGAGATAGCGCTGAATTGAAAACTTGGAAGGGCAAAGCAATCTATCATGGCGACAATATTTTTGGGGGTAAAAAAAATTGTCTTAATTTCACGATGTGTAACCCATTGCCATTTTTTGAAAAAAAAGGCATGGGTATGATATATCAAATATGATATTTCCTGATGTAGGGATCGATGGATGCTGAATGAGTTTGAATGTCTAGAGGAATGATAGATACTTGGAAGGTATGTATTATGGGATATGGGTAAAAGGCCAGGAATTGGGATTAAGAGCTCTTCCACAATACAATAATAATAATCCTTGCATTTGATATAGCGCTTTTCACGTCGGGAGGACATCCCAAAGCGCTTCACAGAACACACTGTAAAGTGAACTGACTGTATATTTGTGGGCGAATGCGGCAGCCAATTGCGCACAGCAATGTCCCACAAACAGTCGTAGATTGAAAATGACCAATTTATTATTGGTTTTGGTTTTGGAGGGATTATTAGGCGTGTGGAGTAAGGAAACTTGCCCAAGGTTTCGCCCTGCCTGAAAATTGAACTCAGGTCTCTCGCTTGCAAAGCGAGTGCTCTAAACACTGAGCTACAGGACTCCACAATGATAATAATAATCCTTGCATTTGAGAAAGAGCCTTTTCGGGTCTTCGAGACGTCTCATAGCGCTTCACACGATATACTGTAAAGTGAATTGACTGTATTTTTGTGGGCAAAATATTGGGTTGTAAAGGTATTAAGGGGGATGGGTGAAAGGGCAGAGCATTGGAAATAAAAAAATTGTCACTGGTGTAACAAGCTTGATGGGCTGAATAGCCTCCTTCTCTTTACTTATGTTCCTATTTTACCAGGACACAAGTGGCTTCAGATATTTCACTGAGTGGGATCCTTAACCCTGTAGTTATACCACCCATTGTGTCATTGACTCTGTGTGGTTTCTGTATCAAACTGATGCCGAGAATGTGGAATAACTGTGTCTTGGATCGACCTAGTAGCTTGGGCTCAACATGAAACCTATAATAAAATAATATTAATCCTCTCATTTGATGTGGCACTGCTCCTGTCAGGAGGAGATGTGAAACTGCTTTGCAGGATACACTGTCAAGTGCAGTGACTGTTTTTTTAGGCGATTCTGCCAGGCCACCTGTACACTCTCCCACAAACAGCCACAAAGTGAGTGATTGATAT